AATGTCAAAACCAAATACTTAAGAGGACACGTGAAATCATTTCAAGAGACACATGAAGCTTATTTTGAGTGTTATAAAAAATTACCCAAATAATATGGCCAGTGTAGATAATCCACCCTATATAACTCAAACCAAATACTGCTTTGTAAACCCTGATATCCAGTCTAGCTGTACATGTTGGTGTAACATACTGGACCACTGCAAAATCATTTCAGTCTGTGTTATGTAAATGTGCCCTACTATCTACAGTATTAGCCTTTTGCTTTGGTTTCTTCTGTTTCATCCTCTGGGTTCTGTGCAACTTAAATGCAGACAAATGCTATATGACATATGTTTTCTATCAATGTCTAGTGGTAACAATGGCTCAGATTTTTCTAGTGGTATCTGCTGTATTGTTATAAGCATATTCATTAATACATATAAGTACAATAGTACAAATAAAATCAACTTGAAAACGAAAACCAAAATATGTACTTGGGAAACACACTGGTTTGCTTAAGTGAAATACTAAAAATATTTGGGTGTTTTTTTCAAATGTTAACCTGCAACCAATTTCACCTATTCTAAAAGTTTTTAATGTGCTTATATTACTCAAAATATTAAAATAATTGTTTTATAGGCTTGGAGAATGTTTTACAAAAATCTCTCTCTGTTTCTTTAAGTGTTACAATCTCCCTTTCTATCCTAGCATAACCACAGAATAGAAAATGTAGTTTGGGGGTCTGGATTGTTTCCATTTCATATTTTCTACACAAAATTATTTTAGAACACTACTTCAACATGCAATTTTGACAAGCAGAGTTATAGAGGCAGTTGACATAAGAGTGTCAACAAAACCATTACACTCCATGTGTATTGCAAGTATGCCCTTCAATTCTCTTCAGGAACAGTTCGCAGGAGGTAGCATCAAGTCAGCACATGTTGTTCAGATGGGTTTTGAAACCTGACCTGAGAGTGAATCTGGACTGTGCCACCTACCGACAGTGTGACTTTTGACAAGTTATTTAAAAATTCTAGTCCTCAGTTTAGTTTCTTTACCTGTAATATAGGGATAACAACAGTACGTCGTAGGATTGGCTGGAAGATTAAATGAGATAAATCATGTCTAGTGCTTAGCATAATATCTAACCCAAGCTAAACACTCAATGTTAACTATTATTTTTAACATAGTGATCATATGGCTATTTTTAATCAAGTTCTCAGAAGGTTTTCTCTCACAAATAACAAAATAGCATTAAGATTCATGTGAGTAATCTAAAACTACCCATGTTTTAAGTAATGCAATGACTAATTACATTGCATTGTCATTTTTTTGTTACAAAACGCAAGAATTTAGCATTAGGAAGATAATTTCCATGTGATGAAGGGCAGTAGATCAAGAAATCTAAATTATCTTCCCAAGAAATTTCATCCTTCCCAGAGTTGTCTCCCAGTTACCACTTTCATTATCATGCTGACCCCATGCTACTCCATATTTAAAGTTCCGCTACAGAACAAAAAGACTTGAACAAAAGAACTTGCCTTTGTTTCCTATTTGGTTTTGACATGAGGTAGAAATTTCCAAACTACTTTCCCAGTACTACTCCAGAGCAAAACTAGTCATGGAAGAAGGAAATACAGGAATACAAGGAAGAAGAGCCCACTCTATGAAGCTCTGTTTCCTTATGCTAGTTCATCTAATTTAATTTCCAAATGCTCAGCTCTTTTCCCAAGAAAACACTAACAACACTAACCATGTATCTGACAGGAAAGCCCATTCCAATGGGAATACTGCCAAAAACAACAGGCAGAAAGCAATAAATGTATCAAAAGAATAAGCAGTCTGGTTATCTTTTGTCTACTGAGTACAGAACCTTGAGTTGATGGAATCACTTGGTTGTGGATGACAAAGTGACATCACTTCTATCAACAGCTCTCCTTTGGAGGCTGCTGGTGATCCATCTGGACAGATTAGAAACAGTACAAGAGTGTTTCAACCAAGGTGCTCAGTGAAGTCCTGCTAGAGGGGAAATGGTGGTTCTTCCTCCATCCTGCTCCCTCCTCCCCTGACCCTGCCTTTCAGGACTGCTCGTTTAACATCATGTGTCAGTACGGACTGCACAAGGAACACACATGCTCATTTTATATGGCCAAC